ATAAGAGTGAACTATGAGAACAAGGACATTCTGTATCGACAGGAAAGCTATCTAGTTCTTCTTTAGACGGATTATCTTGTTTCTCGGTGATCACTTCCGAATCTGAATGTATAAAAAAACCGAGATAAATCAGAAGGCATATGAGAAAAACTAGATAGATCCGAGTAATAATGATATTGAATCGACGTTGTTGTTCATCTTCATTTTGATCACTGCCTACTGGTGGTTGAAAAAGGTTGAGATTGAGAAAAAACAATTTCCAAGAAGATATCGTCTTTCGGCAAAAATCGACTACGGGCATGGTGAGTTCTAGGCGTTTATGATGAACGTAAAATGAAAGACAGGAAAAAAATATGATGTGTTGTTAGAATGTTATTTCTGGAGACAGATGCAGTGAAATAAAAATCTCTATTTAACAACAATTTTTCTACGTCATAAAAATGTACTTCCTACGCAAAATAATAATTTTTATTGTATCGCACTTTTATCAAAAGTAACTAAAAATGTTGACTGAAACAATTTACTTCCGTATCCTGCATGAAAATCATACACAGTTTTTAACATGTTCTTTATTTATGCTAGATAATCACTCACATCTGCTTTTATATATTAAAAAAAAATGAGTCGCATAAAGAGAAGTAAATTTTTATTTGTGGATGATTCAGAACGTCGCATTTGTTAGATTGATGAGATCGTTTGAGCAAAGAAAATTATTGACTAATTAGTTCTTCGTGTTGTATATCATTCTAAAGAGAATAAGTAATGATTTGTAGTACAGGTGTGAGTATGAATGTTCGATGATCCTAATATCCACGACTTCATTTTGAATTATCAGTGCTTTTAAAAGAGAGTTTCATATAGACGATACGTGGACACTAGTACAGGTGCTACTTCGTAGATTTCGACATTTACAATAGATAACATATTATTCAAAGCTGATCTAGAACAAGAAAATGATCTTATTATTTTTATTGACATATGATATTTTATCATAAATATTTCATATAAAAACGATTATACACAGTGATCTTCATAATCATTCACTCATTATTACCTTTATTTCAAATGAAATAAATACATAAAAATAAAATGAAAGATATCATTTGAGAATCCTTTTCTCGGTACTTAATAATTTAAAGAATGTCGAACATAGTTGATGATTCTATTAAAAAGATCTTCTCGTTTATTTTATTCTACAGAAATATTTCTATTTTATTATTGATCATCTGATAGAAAAGTATTGCAAATAATTTCTAAAATTTATTCATTTTCTGTTTATATCTATATAATAAAATATATTCTTCTGCATTTTTTTATTTATTATTATTTCATAAATCATTACTTGTTATTTATTTTCTATTGAAACGAAATAAAAACAAGTTGTTTCTTTTTAGTTACATTCTCCAATAATTCACTCGAATAATAAAAAAAATCTCTTCCATATATTACTAAAAACTGAACATTAGTAAAACATGAAGTTTATTTTTTTTTCTCTATTCGCCTACGTAATGATGTCAATGGGAACTTTCTTTTTTTTGGAATATTTGCAACAAATACAACATTTGAATTTATTAATAAATAAAAACAAAGAATCCGTTTCCGTTTTCAAAACTGATATGAAATGTCAGACATTATTTGTTGTAAATATAAAAATGTTCATGATATTGAAGTTTTGTAGGAAGGATGTGAAAACAAAGTTTAATGTTATTCTTGTTAAGGATATATCGAAAATCATGCCTTAACGAAGGAAATACAATGCTTCCTGAACAACAAAGTAGAACTTTTTTAACAACAAAATGTCTTTGTTATTTTTTATTCAGTTAAAAGAAAAAATAAATCGACATTGTGTGTTATCAGAAATGTGTTGCACAATTGATTTTATTCTTATTTCACAGATTAGATAAATAATAAGAAAAATTGCAGTTGTTCATCTTTAGAATGAATCTTCATCAAATACTATTCAACAATATGAATATTATCGAAACACATGAAATCTATGAGAAATAAATACATAAGTAAAATAATTAGAATTCATCATTTTATTATTCTTTGAAATTATTCTTCATCACGAATAATTATGATCAAATTAACATAGTTGTAAGTAAGAATAGTATGTCAATCATTTGTTTTGTTCTAAAGTGGCATGTAGAAGAGAACGAAGAAAAAAACATTATATTGAGACTATCGGATACATGTGCGATTGACATTGTGAAATCCTGAATACTTTCTTAAGAACAACGACATTTTCTATGGTTTCGTAAGAATTCCATCGATAAAATTAAAATGTTTGATTATGATGAAGAATTAAACTATTGAAAAGTTAATTTATTCTATCAAATTCAAATAGATATTTACAGATTTATGTTTCTAAAAAGAAAATTCTGTAGAATCTAAAATTAAATTGAATATTATGCAAATTTACTCTTGTTCTTAATTATTCAAACTTCTGTTTATTCAAGTAAAACTGTCAATATATTTTATCAGATAAAATACTTATAATACAAAGATAGTTTATCACATGTGAATAAAATTTATAAAACTACTAAATAAACTGATTAGTTTTATTGAGATAAACACAAAATAACGTTAAAACATATCTGTTTTAACCAAAGATTACTTATCTAATTCTCAATTCTTCAAATCCCATTTCGAAATATTTGATCTACAAGAAAAATAATCAATGACACAAGTGTATTATTGATAGTCTTCCTGTAATCAATGGATAATTATAATGTTCTTGATTATGTGTGATTCAGTAGCTCACACGTTTTCTACAATACACTATTTTATAACATACACTAATCTCAAGTAGGTAAGTGTGTGATTTCTCGTTTCATTGACACTCAAGCCGACACTCGTTGAATAAGATTTTATCAAGTTCACAGACTATGTATTGATTATCACCGATCGAAAAATTCAGATTGTAAGTTTCAAGAAATGATAAGTAGACATACAACACTCTCATATAGTGATGGCGTGTAGTGTGTGTGTAGGTAGGTGGGCAGGTATGCTTGAGTGGATGTGGGTATGTGTGGACGGAAGATAATTACATTATCCGCCGACCTATAGCCTTGAGAACGATTATTCATATTTTACCATCACATTTGAACTCGCTCTCTTCTGAATACAGGTAGTTGGGAACAACGAATGATTACTATTCTTCGCATCTGTATTTACATCCACTCAGTTGTGAAAATAATGTTCTGTCTTTTATCGATTATAACTCTTTTTCAACAACCGCCGTGCAATATGACTTCGAGATATTACTGCAGCTCATATGTTATCTGGTGTATGATTATTTATTAAGAAATGTGCATGATTAAATAGTTTGATTATATATAAAAAAAAAATTGTGATTCAGTTCACAAAAGAAAATGTCATTCTGTCTATAACGATTAATAAAGCTCAGTACTATTGACAACACCACTAGTATTACTACTACCACTTCCACCAGTAACTAATACTTTTCCATTTGCTAATATGGATGCTGTGTGCTGTCCTCGCAAGGCACTCATGTTGGCTGTGGTTGTCCAAGTGCCTGTTGACGGATTGTACAATTCAGCACTATTGAGATTGCCACCGGTGTTGTATCCACCAGCAACTAATACCAATCCATTTACTAATGTAGATGTTGTATGATAACATCGTGTGGTACTCATGCTTCCTGTAGTTGTCCAAGTGCCTGTTGATGGATTGTAAAATTCAGCATTATTGAGATAAGCACTATTGTTATATCCACCTGCAACTAATACTGATCCATTTGCTAATGTGGATGCTGTGTGATATCCTCGTATGAAATTCATGCTTCCTGTGGTTGTCCAAGTGCCTGTTGATGGATTGTACAATTCAGCACTATTCAGATAAATACCGTTGAATCCACCGGTAACTAATAACGATCCGTTTGCTAATGTGGATGCTGTGTGGTGCGCTCGTGCGGTACTCATGTTTCCTGTAGTTGTCCAAGTGCCATTTGATGGATTGTACAATTCAGCACTGCTGAGATAACCACTGTTTAATCCACCGGCAACTAATAACAATCCGTTTGCTAATATAGAAGCTGTGTGATAAGATCGTGTGGTATTCATGCTTCCTGTAGTTATCCAGGTGCCTGTTGCTGGATTGTACAATTCAGCACTATTGAGATTGCCACCGGTGTTGGATCCACCAGCAACTAATACCGATCCATTTACTAATGTAGATGCTGTATGATAACATCGTGTGGTACTCATGCTTCCTGTAGTTGTCCAGGTACCTGTTGATGAATTGTACAAATCAGCACTATTGAGATTACCACCAACATTATTCTTTCCACCAGTAACTAATACTAATCCATTTGCTAATGTGGATGCTGTGTGATAATATCGTCCGGTACTCATGCTTCCCGCGATTGTCCATTCTAAATAAGATAAAGCAGTGATAAAGAAATATTGTTTTTAAAATGACTTCAAATTTCTCATGTGCATAATTTGTTTAGCTATTGATGACAGTGTAAATGATTTCAAACCTTCAGTAGATTTCTTTTTGTTTTTATGGTTACGATCAGATTTATTATGAAATGTTAAATCAAACTAATGAAAAATATGTTATAAACAACTTCATTGATATTTTTCGAGTTCTACCAACGTCGCGAACTGATAAAACTCAACCATCGTCATACAATTCAGTTATGATAAATAATGATCGAGTTTCCGAATTTGAGTGAAAGTCATTCTACATTGTTCAACATAGTGGGAACAAGATGTCCTTTCATCAAGTTAGATGTGTAGTATATGTATGTGTCAGGATTTACGTAACAATGGATGTTAATGAGGATGTGACTGTAAACAAGAGAATATAATTATCGCATCGTTCTCGTAAGAAAGTCACTACACTAATAGTTAATTAATGATGATGAAAGGCGTTTTTCTCGAGTTTGCACTCTGTACTTTATGCTTATACGACATCTGTTTGAATTGCTCAACTCTATGCCAGTACGACATAAAATATGAGAGTAGATGTTGATAGACATGTCTCATGTCGATATAATGTCAACTAGTACTTCAACGTGCAGAATTATTTAAATAATCGTGAGAATGGGTGAAAGTGAGTGATCATTAAAATGATTAATGAGTTCTATCACATAAAAATCTTTTTATCAACAATGTTTTCGTCTGATACTGTTGATCAGGACAAGAATATTCAGTACTTAAATGAGTGTAGATCAAATTAAGTCATCAAAAATTGGTCCTATTTCGACTTCTGATGAGAAATATTCCTTAATGTTATCTATCCAGATGACAATCATCCAATAGCTAAAATCAAAACTTTTCAATATCGTCACTTCTAGTGATCATTCTTTGAGTCAATAAAAATCATTTAGCATAGTACTAACGCTGTATTATTGTTGTTGTTGATTCTGTTGTGGATGTTGTTGTTGATGTTGTTGTTGATGAAGTTGATGACGATGTTGTTATGGTGGATGTTGTTGATGATGTTGTTACGGTGGACGTTGTCGATGTT